TTAAATTAGCCAAGGAAGTGCTTTCTCCTCACTCTCCCACCATGTAAACACAATGCCATCCCTTTCAACAAGTTCTGTCTTCTCCAGAATCGAACGGTGGTTACTCGGTCACATAGTTAAGGAGAGACATGCCTGAGATGGCTCCTGGCGTTTCTCTTATGCCATCTCTTCTGGGGACCGCAGTTTATTTGGGATGAAGCTGCCAAAACTCAAAATGGGTCCCCTGGTACTGCTGACACCAGGAAGTTCTCAAGTCAGGACCACAGTGAGAGTGAGGCCGGTGGCAAGGCCCTGGCGCTGGAGAAGGTCACTGTAGGAGTGAATGACCTTGATCTTCTCTTACCATTTTTGGGGACGCTGGATATTGCCGTCTACGCTGTGGAAAGCAGAAAGGAGCTCTTTTTTCTGGTTCCAGAGGACACGGTATATTGTCTGAAGCTGGGCAGCTTGGATGATAGACTCCGGCCCAATCTGATAACAGAAGGAAGGGCCTAGAGGACCTGTCCCGAAGCCCAGGTCCCCCTCCTCCCTTCCCAACTCCACTCAGGGACTTGCAGCTCCTAACAGCCGAAATCTGTGGGGAGGCAGAGGCTGCTCTGGAGCTTCAGCTGACACACACACACCACCCCCTCCTCCCAGCCCACCTTGAAAGTTAATTACATTTCTGCTCAGCTTCCGGCTCTCAAAGTGTGGTCCCCGCCGAAACCAGTTTGGCTCAGTCTACCAGGCCGCAGACCGACCTGAAAGGTCCCAGGTTCGATTCCGATCAGGGGCATGTACGTTGGTTGCGGGCACATCCCCAGTAGGGGATGTGCAAGAGGCAGCTGGTCGATGTTTCCCTCTCATCGACGTTTCTAGCTCTCTGTCTCTCTCCCTTCCTCTCTGTAAAAATCAATAAAATATATTAAAAAAAAAAAAAAAAGTGTGGCCCCAGATCCAGCCGCCTGAGCATCACCTGGGGCCAGTTGGGCGTGCACATTCTCAGCTTTGCTCCCACCGACATTCCCGCTGGGACCTGGTGATTCCATTGTATTTTTATAGCCCTCCAGGTGATATGCACCCTAAACTGGAGACCCCCGCATCCCTCCCCCTCACGGAGCCCTGACTTGGCATTCCTCCTGCTGTGACACAACCCCATTGGAGAGCCAATACATCTGTGCCGGCTTTTACATGTGCCTGGGACCATGCACGTGGTTCAGAGCCACGCACTCTCTGACTCCTGTTTTCACGGCCAAAGTGGGTGTTGGGTTGCACAGGTTTCAAACATTCCCTGAGCTGCAGTTATGGGGAACGCCCAAGCCCTTGGCTCAGGACTCCAGCCTCCAGTGACCCATTTGTCTCTGGACACGACTAGTCCCACATCCTGATTCCAGAGCATCAGCCCATCCACCTGACGCCCTTCCTGCCCTGGTGTTGAAATGGGTCCCTCTCTTTTTCCTAAGAGGGAGCCATCCTGCCCCCAGCCCTTGCCCGTTCGTTCTGAAGGCCCTGTTTGGTCTGGGGCACTGCCTCCGGGCACTGATCTCCTGCCTTCCCATGGGGCGCTGGGGGCAAAGCTGTGTCCTGTTCAAGCACACGGCCAGGCCTGTCCACCGTGCACTGTGTGTCCTGATCGCACCAGATCCTATCTCCTTTTCCTCCCGTTGTTTCCCCTTTGTCCTGGTTTTCCCACTGCAGGCTGTTTTTTAGGTCATCGTGTTTTGTACTCCGTGGATCTTCACTGATAGCCTTGGTTAGTTTGGAAAGGACACAATTTAAAAAAAAAAAATTAAAACGGAAACTTTTGTTGTGAGACACAGTGGATTTGAAACGATTAGTGGTGTCTTCTGAGGGGCCGTGTACACCTGAGTGTTTTTTTCCAAACCCTGTGCTCTCTCGCCTTATCCTATGGGCACGGATTCAGTAAAACCTGTTTCGTTTCGTTTTGTTTTTTTCGAACTAGCTCGTCAGGGGATCCAGGGTGAGTTAGCCAAGTGAGAGAAGTTGGGGCAGACTGGAGGGAAGGCCCTTTAGTGGGTGTTCATTCTTCCTACTCCAAAATGTATTCACAAACCAACAACTCCGGAAGCGGAGCAGTGGCAGCTGCGGCCTGAACCGTCTCCTCGCCGGAGAACAGGCCGGTTTCCACGCGGAGGGGGTGCGCTGGTCCCTGAGCGACGCCCTGGCCTTAGTTTACTCTGTAATGGAAGCAACAGGTACACATGTCCTCCGCGGTCCACTTACTTCTGAACAAGCGCCAGCCCCAGTCGCCTTGGACAGTGTCCTCTGAGAGGTCACTGTGGGAGTCCAGTTTGCTCAGCATGTGACCTTAGCCATGCAGCAGGTGGAACCCTCCTGCCCCTGCTCTCCTGCACCCTCCAGAGGCAAGGGGTTCTCCGCCTGCCAGCCAGGCACTGTGCCAGGCACCTCCTAGACTTGTTGCCTTTTCTCTAATCCTCAGGTCTGTGGAGGTCAGGGTCCAGGTCTCCTTCCTGGGTGATGCTATAGACGGTAACCCCATCATTAACTTGGGTGAGAATTGGAAATACACTTCAAATTCTGGGTGCTGAGCAGACACACGTTAGAGTGGACTTCCTTGTTCGTGCTGGGTCCCCGCCGGTTAAGAATCCGGTTGGATGATGAACGTGAGAGCGCCGTGCGCGGCCCCACTTTCGTCCCCGGGGAGAGGCTGCTCCGTAAATGGCTTTTCCGCGGCTCCCCCACCCTAAGGGTCTCTGATGGGGAGTCGTGTTTGAACTGCTCTCTAAGTTAGAGGATGTAGGAGTTACAGCGTTATTAGGTCGAGTCAAAAGCTACCCTGGGAGCCTGCCGGACCCGGGCAGCGTGTGTGGGAAACGGGCCTTTGCTTCTGTGAAACACACATAATTGGCTGTGAGGATGGCCCCTTGCTCCTCCTTAGTCTCCCTTGGGCCTGACAGTATGTGAAGCCTGTAGACCCAGTTTTTGGAAATGGCACCATGGGGAGGAAGACGGTGAAGTGTGCGTGTTGAGTGAGGGGCGTGAACTGTCTGGGGTGATGCCCCAGTCATTTGTATTCATGGGAGGGAGTAAGCATGTGCTTGATATGGGCCCTTTCTCCAAATAAATCTCACCTCCTGCTGCTTAACTGCTGCTGCTTATTCCCACCTGCCAATGACTCCCTCCTCCTGTACCTCTGCGCTTCTCAGAATATATCCTTGTTGATTTCAGAGAGAAAGGGAGAGGGAGAGGGAGAAACATCAGTGGTGAGAGAGAATCATGGATCAGCTGCCTCCTGCACAGCCCCTGCTGGGGATCAAGCCCACAACCCACGCACGTGCCCTGTCCGGGAATCGAACAGTGACCTCCTGGTTCATAGGTCAACACTCAAACACTGAGCCATGCCGGCTGGGCCTTCTATGCTTTTTAAAACCAGTGTCGAGATGTCATTAGTTGGTCCCCTCTAAACAGCGATGTTTGATAACTGATACATAGCCTGACGTTACCCTGGTAGCCATGGCCTGTCGCTTCCTCATCTAGATCTCTCCCGCCCGTTTCTTGGGCTTATTCCAAATCCTGGAACATTTATGGGAGACTTGTCTAGTCCTAAAGGTGTGCTAAAATGAATATCCTCACGTGGATTTAAAAGAAAGAAGAAAGGAAAACTCGTCTAGCCTTAAGAAAAATGTAAAACCTAGAGCCAGTCTCCTCTGGGTGAGGGCATGGGTGTGAGCTTTCTTAACACATTTTAAGGGAAGGTGAACTTTCAGAGGTCTTTTCTCCCCCCCCCCCTTTCTCCACCCCCAGTGACTGAGTGATGACCTTTCTGTGTGTTCTCGTAAATTCATTTCATTTTGAAATAAATTTGCCATCACCCCCGCTCACAGGCTAACCCGGGTAAAGAATGTCTTGTTCCAAGGTAGTGGTTACAAACTCTGTCTAATTAGTCCTTCAGCCACGGCCGAAGGCAAAGTCAGGGGTCATAAGGCCCTAGTTTCTGCTCCCTCCTGGCTAAAAGCCGCCCTCGGCCCGCACTGGAAGGGTGGGCAGTGGACATCGGGGGTGAGGGCTGCTGACCCCACTGCTCTTTTTACAATGCATGAGCAGGTCTGTTGTGAATTGAGCAGCTGAGCTTATGGACCAGGAGCTCAGGGTCTGCATTTTCTTTTTCTTTAAATATATTTTTACTAGAGGCCCAGTGCACGAATTCCTGAACAGGTAGGGTCTGGCCAGCCTGCCCCAACGTGGCTGGGAGGAGGGGAAGTGGGAGATTGGCCGGCCAGCCCCGCTACCAGTTGCGGGGAGGGCGGTCGATTGGGGCCGCAGTGCGTGTCAAAGCAACCAGTCATTCTGGCATTGCAGTCACTTGGCACACACACACACACACACACACACACACACACTGTATTTTCTGGCGTATAAGACGACTTTTGAAAAAAAGTCAACCGAAAATCAGGGCAAAAGACCAAAATTGCACAAAAATTACCTGCAGATCTTGACGGCAAAGTAAGTCTTTTCTTTGAAGTGGGGGGTAGTCTTATACAGCAAATATAGGCCTAAACCTATGTTTTAACTGTAAAATTAGGGGGTCGTCTTATACGCCAGAAAATACGGTGTGTGTGTGTGTGTGTGTGTGTGTGTGTGTGTGTGTGTGTGTGTATTGATTTCAGAGAGGAAGGGAGAAGGAGAGATAGGAGAGATAAAAACATCAGTGAAGAGACAGAATCATTGATCAGCTGCCTCTTGCAGGACCCACACTGGGGATCGAGCCCACAACCCAAGCATGTGCCCTGACGGGGAATTGAACCATGACCTCCTGGTTCATAGGTCGATGCTCAGCCACCGAGCCACACGCCGGGCAACAGGGTCTGCATGTTCTGATCCCTTTCAGAGCACACAAGTCAGCGACCACATGCCTCTTACTCCGGAATGGAGGCCTGCTTCCCGTCCCCGTGCTGATAAAGCTCTCCCCGGCTCTCTGGCCTCGCACCGTGTGTAATGACTGTGTCTGTTTTCTCCTCTCCCTCGCCCCTGGGCATCAGCACGTGTGGAGCGAGAGCGAGGACTGCCTGCCCTTCCTGCAGCTAGCACAGGACTACATCTCCTCCTGCGGCAAGAAGACGCTCCCGGAAGTCTTGGAAAAAGTCTTCAAGTCTTTCAGACCCGTAGGTGCCCGCCCGCTTCTAAAGCCCTTGTTTCCTCCCGGATTGCCCTTTGTGGGGAAATTGGGCAGGATCTGGGATGACTAATTTTGTTTGTCTCTCGTCTGCTTGGTGGCTTAAAGATAGCAGCTGTGGAGGGGGCTGAGGGCGGGAGGGGGGGAGTGGGATGTGGCACAGCTGTTCGGTGCAGGGACGCTGGTTATTTCTAGCATCACTGGAGTTCAGAGCCGCTGACAGGGTGGGAAGCAAACAGCCTTCGTGAGGCGACTGAATATCCCTGTCCTCATCCAGGAGTCTTACAGCCAACATGCTGGGAAGTGCCCTGCAGGTGCCCTCACCTCATAATGGTGAGGCTCATATTCAGGGGCGGCCAGAAGGCTACACAAAAGGGGTGCCCCCACACCTGTGGGCATGGAGAAGGATGAAATTGGTTGAGGGTCCACTTCTTTCTTTTTAAAATTTATTTATTTTGAATATATTTTGATTGAACTCAGAGAGGAAGGGAGATAGAGAGCGAAGTAGAAATGTCAATGATGAAAGAATCATTGATTGGCTGCTTTCCTGCCCACCCCACACTGGGGATTGAGCCCGCAACCCGGGCATGTGCCTTTGACTGGAATTGACCCAGGGACCTTTCAGTCCGCAGGCCGACGCTCTATCCATGGAGCCAAACCAGCCAGGGCAAGGGTCCTGTTCTTTTCTCTTCATAAACTCACTATAGAGAGCTTGTCCACCCAACCACCACCACCTGTTAGGATTTAGGAACCTGTATGCTTGTGTCTAGCTAACAGTATCTTCATTCTTGTTGCAAAGCCTGTACAGTGAATACTAACCCTGTTGTGAAAACGACCTGTTTCCCTTTATCATTATTGGAAGATGGAGCCAGTGTCCCCACACTTCTCCCAAGTTCAATCCCTTGCCCACTGGACTCTACAATGGTCAGGATCATTGCTCTAGAACTTCCATTCATTTCTTTTTTCAAATCTTTTAAAACAGTGATACTTTGCTGCTGAAATTTTCAAGCTTGTCTGTAGTTTCTCTGAACATACTAGGCATGGTTGCACGAGAGACTGTGTTTGATAGTCCAGTATTTCAAGATTTATAAGTCTGTTTGTTGCCATTTGTTTTGACTGTTCTCCTGCTATTGTGTTTCTTTGTGTGTTGGGTTTACATATTTGAAAATTTATATATAGGAATAAATCGAGGCCCATGATGAGGGTCCCTTCCTAAGGGGAGTTGGAGGTAGGGGGACTGTTTGCTTCTGCCAGGGCTTTGGCCTGTGGGCCTGAGAACACCTTTGAGCAATGTCCGGCCTGTGGTTCTCGGAACTCTGCAGGTGATGCCAGGCAGGCTGCAGGCTGCCTCCTCCTAGTTGATCTTGTCCTGAGAGCTGTCTTAGGCCCCACCCCCACCCCCATTCAGGCTGCTAAGCAACTACCACAGACTGGATGGCTTAGAAACAACAGAAATTTACTTCTCTCGGTCTGGAGGCTGGAAAGGTCACCATCAGGTACCAGGAGACTTGGTGTCTGGTGAGAGCCTGCATTCTGGTCACAGGATCTCCTCACTACCACTCACCTGGTGGGGGGAGGGAGCTGTCTCTGGGGCCTGTTCTATAAGATCTTGGTCCCATTTATGAGGAATCTACCTTCCTGAGCCAATCGCCTCCCAAAGGCCCCACCTCCTACCACCACCTCAGCGAGTAGAATTTCAACATGAATTTCAGACAGACTTTCAGGCCAGAGCCAAGGTATAGGCCTATGGGGTCCCAGCTTACTGTGGGGGCGATTCATCCCCCAGTTTGCTCCTTTGGGAGAGCCTGGCTTTGACGGGTCCCCCCAGCTCTGAGCATAGGCCAGCCATGCATCAGGTTTCTACCTGCTGCTTCTCGGTCAGCAGTGCCCTCGGGACAGAAGCAGGTGCCCCTCTCTGGGGCCTAATTCCTCAGAGTACCCAAGAAGGCATTTTTCATCGTGAACCCAGCTCTGGTTCCCCATGGGCGAGCTGGTCCCAACCGTTTAACCCACTGTTACTACAAGAATTGGAAGTTTCGTGGCTTTTGTCCACACTTGTTGACTTGTATCATTCCTCTAATCAATTCATTTTTTATCTTTAAAAATTTCTAAGCCCATTTGGTTCAAATAGATTTGTAAAACTATTTATTTAGTTAGAAGAACAGAGAGAAACATCAATGTGAGAATGAAACATCCATGAGCTATCTCCTGCTTGTCCCCCACACCAGGGATCGGGCCCACAGCTCAGACATGTGCCATGAACAGGAATCGAACTGGCAACCTTTCGGTGCACAGGACGATGCCCAACTAACTGAGCCTTGGCTGCCAGAGCTGGCTGTTTGTCTTGCCGAAGGGAGGTTGCATTTAGAAATAAGACCCAGGGAGGATCTTATCGCTAGCGTAGGGTTCTTCCGGAGTGGCTCAGGCCCCAGTGCTCCAGGGTGGTCAGGCAGGTGAGCCTCAGCACATTGTCCCCCTGAGAATGCGGTGCTTTTGGTTGGCAGTCGGGGAAGCACCGTGAGGAACAGGTTCCCCTTAAACAGCCTCCTCCCTGCCTGCGAGTCCTTGTTTTCCTTGGCCCGCCCTTCGCCAGCCCCGGCCTGTGCAGGCTCTCTGAAAGATAAGATCCATCGGTTGACAGCCTTCTGCCCGCCGTTGGGGCATCAGTCAGGCAGAGTCAATTAAGTTGCTGCAGCCGTGAGCTCCTGCGTGCACAGCCCGGAGCGAGGTCATCGCCTGGCCTTCCCCAGCCGTCCTGCCCGGAGGCTGAGCAGCCACGGCAGCTCTCTGCCTGTCTCCACATGCCAACTCTGTAGGCTGTGCTTCTCCCCTTTCTCTCGTTTGCCCTCCCTCCACTGAAATCTTGCCCCCCTAATAAATCCGTTGTTGGATGGGGAAAGGGGGAAAAAAAGTGATCCTTTTTTGCCATTTTACTTTTCCCTCTACTTCATCACATTTTCAACCGTAGGTATCCGTCACCTGTGTTTGCCCACTCTGTCTTTAGAGAGTGAGGGCATGGCACAGTGCCCCGCTCTTGCTCCCGAGGAGCTGGCTGTGGTAGGAGAGACAGACACAGAAACTCCACATCACAAGACAGAGCATTTATTTTGGTTGGTGCAGACGCTCTGCTGGGTGCTCCCTTTGCAGAACACACCAAGAGTTCCAGTCCCTGCTCTGCGTTCTCCACGGTGCTGGGTCCTTAGAGAGCTGTTTCCTGGGGCACATTACTGATGTGAATTCAGGGTGCTGTTTGTGGTCTCTCCCCGGTGATGTGGAATCAGGATTCTTCACCGATGAGCAACCTGGGCTCCGGGGCAGCGATTCAAATCCCAGCTCTGCCACTTGAGGGCTGTGTGACCTTAGCCAAGTTACTTAACCTCTCTGTTTCTCAGTTTCTTCATTTGTAAGATTAGGAAACAATGACAGTAGTTCTCTTAGGGTTGCTGTGATGCTTACATGATGCATTTCTCATGGGGTACAGAGGACAGCATTTACAGCACTAAAAATACTGTTGAGAAGTGAGCAGGACTTTGTGAAATGTATAGGACTTGTAGGTTTTTGGTCAAGAGGAAACCAATTTGCCAGGTGCTTTCAGCACGTGCTTAACAGAGACACCTAGAGGTGTTGATGAGGTATTATAGTCAAAGTTTATTACCATTGGTTTGGGGAAAATGAAACCACCATTCGATAGCTAATGCGTTCGGCTCTCTGTGTTAGATGCATTTGTCCTCCTAGTGCTGTAAGGAGGACGAGTGGACACTCCCGCCCCCAGGGGGCGCCTGACCTCAGAGCCTCCGGGTGGCAGGGTGCTGGGTGATATTTATGCTCCTCTTTTCTGTATTTTCTAAATTGTCTGTGATGTCCACATTTAAGATCAGAAATGGTGGTGTGTTTTTTAAAAAGCTGTCTGGTCTACACCAAGCATGTCAAGCTCAAAGGCTAATTACGGGCCACGTAAACGAGGCATGCGGCCCGTGGGCCACGAGTTTGACATGCTTGGTCTACACTGTGCTAGAAGGGCTTGGAGTGCCAGGGGGGAGCGGGCTCGCTGAGGAACGCAGCACCGGGCGGGGAGGTGGGACTGGAGAAAGGGCAGGATCCGGATGTGCTCAGCTGGGGAGGAGGGCTGCTGCCCGGCCACAATCAAACCAAACGGGCCATTTTAAGTTGATCATGGCTTTTGTTTTTTGTCACATTATAAACAAACCCTTGTGTGTGTGTTTCAGAAAGTACAATGGCCCCTAAAAGTAAGAGAGGAGCTATTACTCTTGCCCAGCGGTCAGCAAACTCATTAATCAACCGAGCCAAATATCAACAGCACAACGACTGAAATTTGAGAGCCAACTTTTTTAAACTTAAACTTCTTCTAACGCCACTTTTTCAAAATAGACTCGCCTAGGCCGAGGTATCTTGTGGAAGAGCTACATTCAAGGGGCCAAAGAGCCACATATGGCTCGCGAGCCGCAGTTTGCCAACCACAGCTCTCGCCCATTAGTCATCTTGCCACCTGCCTCTTTTTTTCCCCTCATATCAAGAAGACAGGCTGCCCGGGTCATGGGTCTGTTGGTTCCACCAGCATTATGATCAGTAAATAAACGGTGGCAAATGCCCCAGATGCTTTCGCATCTCCATACTGAACGTGGCTCCCACTCGTTCCAAAAGACCCCTATTCGATCCTTCAGTTCACGCATGCTCTCTTGGGTCTTTGGAACTTTAATTCAGGGGTTGGCGTCTCTACCAGCCCGGACAGTCCTGTTTGGGTGGATGGGCCCCAGAAGTTCTGTGCGATCATAGGCTGTTCAGAGGAAGCTTGGGTGACAGCAAGACCCTGGAAATGCCAACACTTGTCCAGAGAGAACAGGCAGGTGTGTCCCAGTCGACTGGAAAGGAAGGAATGGTCATAGCTACCAGCAGTCATTTCAGTGCGCCAGACAGGATTTCTTGACCGGTCTTCGTTTTCCTCCCGAGAACGTGTGGGTGCTGTGAGAGCCAGGGCTCCGGGCTTCTCTCCAGTCTGTTTGCACTCCTGTCTCTGGTAGATCTTGACTGTTCACAATTCGGATCCAAAAGTTAAATTTAGACTTACCCGCCATCCACGGGGATGGAGGCAGGGGTGGGAATGCTAGACGGTCACGTGTCTGTGTGACAGCGTTTGGAATCGCAGGCACATTCTCGTTCATATGGTTCTTAACTCTTCCTGTCTGACTTATTTTGGTTTTAAAAAAACAAAACAAAAAAAAACGAACACCAGAATGTGAGTCACCTGCGTTCATGGTGCCAGCCATCTCTTCTCTCTCTTTAGAGGCAAAGTTGGTCTTTTAGTCCATCCGCTAAGATATGGAGGGAGGCCATGGTGGGGGCTCACGAGGTTGTCACAAACTGTGGGGATGAGCTGGATGCGCCCCTCCTGGCCCTCTGCTCCCAGTCGGCAGTGGCACCTTGAGTCAGCTCTGTGCTCTAAGGAGAAAGCTCGTGTCTGCAGTCGGCCGCGGCCACCCTGGCAGGCCACAGGCACCATGTGACCAGGAGTGCGGGCAGACGATCTCGCCCTGAGTGTGTTCCTAGGGCTCCGTGAGACCAGCCAGAGTTGTGGTTTGAGGACTTCGGTCCAGGCATCATCAGGATTGGGCCTCTGCTTATCCTTGTCTCACTTGGGGAGTTGGGGAGGAGCAGGAAGAAGGAAAGGAGTTGGGTGGGGGAGGCGTGGCCGGGCACTAGGGAGCAGAACACAGCAAACAGAGTGGCCTGTCTTATCTTAGTGCCTCAAAGCAGTTAAAGCTGAGATCATAGAGCCATTTGGTGAAGTTGCCTCAAACTGACTATCCAAGGATGAGGTCACTGTGAGAGAAAGTCCTTTGGCCACGTGCATGCTGTGATCTCAGGGAAGAGCCAGGGCTGGATGCCCATGAACACGGACAAGGCTCAGGTGTGCCCAGGGTCACAGCTTCCTGCCAACCCCAGAGCTTCCTGTTCCTATCGGTCCAGCCCAGCTCATGGCACTCAGTTTCCAACCAAAGAGCAGCCAGTGCTCCAAGAACATGTTTACTGTGGATGGCTCTGACTTTCCCTGATGGTTATTAGAGAGCATTTGGAAAAATGGAAAGATTACAAAGGGAAAATTTTACCCATAATCACATTGTCTAAAAATGATGCTCTTAAGATTTGGATGTATTTCACTGAACTCTTCTTTTCTATGCATTTCTGTATAAACTTAAAGAAATGTGTATCATAATGTAAACACACATTCTTTTTACACTTGTGAGCATATTTTTTTATATTGTTAGATTATTAAAAACTAGATTATTAAAAAAATTAGTGTAAGATTCAGCAGGTAGGGTAGGGAGATCTGGGGGAGATAATAGATCAACCGAAGGACTTGTATACATGCATATAAGTACAACCAATGGAAACAAAACTCTGGGGAGGGAGGGTTTGTATGGGGGGGGCAATGTTAAAATATGTACACAGATAATAATTTAATAAAAAAAAAATGTAGAAAAAAAATTAGTGTAAGAGTAGACCTTCCTTCCCCTGGCTGGCTTCCCTTCGGCCACCGGCAGGCACCTAAGACCCAGGCTTTCCCTCAGGTCCCGGCTTTGTCTGGAATGACATCCGGAAGGATGTCTGGTCTAATTAGCATATTACCCTTTTATTATTATAGACTAGAGGCCCAGTGCATGACATTTGTGCACTGGGGAGAGGGAGTCCCTCAGCCAGCCTGTGCCTTCTTGCCGGCAGTCAGATATCCCCCAAGGGGTCCTTAGTACTGCTGCAGAGGTGAGAGAGGATCCTGTCACCGCTGCTGTGCTCATCAGTCATAAGCCCAGCTTCTGGCTGAGTGGTGCTCCACCCGTGGGAGCACACTGACCACCAGGGGACAGCTCTTGCATTGAGTGTCTGCCCCCTGGTGGTCAATGCGCATCATAGCAACCAGTCATTCTGTGGTTTGGTCAATTTGCATATTAGCCTTTTATTATATAGAATACTATTTTAAGTGGCTACATAAGATTTTATCTTCTGGGCACCCGATAATTTAACCACTTGGTTGAACCTTTTCAGAGCAGCTGTGCTTTTAGGGGAGAAAAAGAGGAGAACCGATTTTTGACATCTTTTTTTTTTTTAATATATTTTATTGATTTTGTACAGATAGGAAGGGAGAGAGATAGAGAGTTAGAAACATCGATGAGAGAGAGTCATCGATCAGTTGCCTCTTGCACACCCCCTACTGGGGATATGCCCGCAACCAAGGTACATGCCCTTGACCGGAATCGAACTCGGGACCCTTCAGTCCCCAAGCCGACGCTCTATCCATTGAGCCAAACCGGTTTCGGCCGATTTTTGACATCTTGATGGGACAGTCACACTGCATGGTACGACTGCCAGCATCCCAGATATGTGTGGGTGTGCATGGGTAGCATATCTTCATGCATAGGTGGGCGGAGGGGTCATGTTTTAATGCTTAAAAGTAGAGAATCTTCAGGCTTCCCAATAAAAACGAGCCCTTGGGGTGCCCATCCATTGAAGGACTGATATTTCCCTCTAATAAGTTTATGAACATAATTGTTGGGGAGATCTCAGGGGAAATCACAGCTGCTGTGCCGAGTCCTGTAAGGGCTGCTTGGTGTGGAGCAGACGCCTTTGGTGGCCTTCCTGCCTGGAGCCGTGGGCTCACAGGTGCTTCTCTTCTCTCCCTGCAGTTACTGGGCCTCCCGGACGCCGACGAGGACGCGTTTGAAGAGTACAGCGCCGACGTGGAGGAGGAGGAGCCAGAGGCCGACCACCCCCAAATGGGGGTCAGTCAGCAGTAAACGTGGAAGGAGTGAGCCCCGTGGTCCCCGAGGCGGGCTCTCGAACTGCTCCTGGGCTAGCTCTTAGCAACAGGACGTCTGGCTCCCAGCTTCCGAATTCAAGCAAAATACCTTCTTAACAACCACAGAATGTCTGGGATGAGCTGCACTCAGCAGTGGCCTCCATTTGACTCCTGTGTCAGCGGGTTGTATGGCGTCGTCTCGGTAGCCTTGGCCATTTCTAATGAAGAGCCCATTCTGTGGCTGACGGTTCTCTTGAGTCTCTGTTGGGGAATTGGCATGCACTGGCTCGAGTGTCGGGAACTCTGAATGTGTTTGAGTCCTCACAGGTGACTTGATGGAGGGAAAAGCATGGCAGAGAAGAAATTCGGTCTGCACTTTGTATGTACCTGGTTGCGTGTCATGAGTGAACGTTGTTGCTTATAAAGCATGAGTTTTAATACCTAGTCGTTACACTGCACAAGTAAGTTACAGGGGCAGGCAAGGATCGCCACTCAGCTTTGGGTGAAAAGACCCTCCCAGTGTGCAACCAGTCCTGAGTGACCTGGGGACGTGGCAACTGGTTCCTGGTTGTATAAACATGCTTGCCTGGTCAGTTACTCTAAAATATGCTAATTCCAAGACTTAATCGTGGGTATAAATGGGGTGACATCAGTTACTAACTTCTTTAGACTGTTTGTAAACCGTCCGACATATGAAACATTTACCTTCTCTCGTTATAATGAGATGGCAATTTGTTAAATCATGAAACTATCTAAAATCCAAGGGCCACGTCAACTTTGAAGCCATAGATCAATTTAATGGGACAATAAACCAGGATAACATTTTTTTTAAAAAAAAAATATATGATGGAATCCTTTTTTTGTAATCTGACTTTTATGCTTTTTTAATTTTTTTATTATATATTTAAAAAAATATTTTATTGACTTTTTCACAGAGAGGGTGAGAGAAGGATAGAGAGTTAGAAACATCAATGAGAGAGAATCATTGTTCAGCTGCCTCCTGCACACCCCCCACTGGGGATGTGCCTGCAACCAAGGTACATGCCCTTGACTGGAATCAAACCTGGGACCCCTCAGTCCGCAGACCGACGCCCTATCCACTGAGCCAAACCAGCCAGGGCTCTTTTATCTTTAAAAAAAAAAAAAATGTCAAGAAAAGGATCCCACTGTATATACTTAAAAATTGTAATCAAGTGCTTCAAAATTCAATTCCAGTGAATTTTGTAAATGTTTTTATTGATTTGAGAGAGAGGAGAAGGGAGATGGAGAAAAGCATCGATGTGAGAGAGAAACATCTTTTGGCTGCCTCCTGCACACCCCCTACAGGGGATCTAGTCCTCAGCCCCTGGCATGTGCCCTAACTGGGAAGCGAACCAGAAGCTCTTTGGTGCAATGGATGATGCTCAGCCAACCGAGCCACACTGGCCAGGGCTGCAGTGAATGTGTAACGTAATGCAGCTTTGCTTGGTGCAGAGGGGAGGTTTTAATGATCACAATTCTCAGCTAAGAAGACTGGAAAAAGACTGTCATCCTTTAGCCATCAAATACTCCTGGGAGAAATTCTTTGTCATGCTAACATGGACTTATTTCAAATACTCGTTTTCTTGGGCCCTCTGGTCCTCACCATGTGGGTGCCGGTGCCCTGGTACAGCATTTCGTTAACCGTGGCATCTGGGTGGGATGTTTCTAACATGCGTGCCCGTTAGGTTGTGAATGTTTTGATTTAAACAAATAAAAAATAAAAAAAATAAAAAAGCAGCAGCTGCCGCCGCAGAGGCTTCAGAGCTCCTGGGAGTCTTGTCTGTCTTCCAGTCACGTGGGTGTAAACCCGAAGGTCTCGGCATTTTCTGTTTCATGGGTATTGGGAGGAGCCTGGCTGCTCGTGGTCAAACCAGGCGTCCCGCAGTTTTAAGTCTCGGGGTAAAATGATCCAGTGCTTTCCGCCCGGGGGTCAGGAGCCACATTCTTTCTTGTCTTGGGAAAACATAGTCAAGGTATGTGTGTGTGTGTATATATATATATATATATATATATATATATATATATATATATATATATATATAATTTTATTTATTTTTTTTACAGAGAGGAAGAGAGGGATAGAGAGTTAGAAACCTCGATGAGAGAGAATCATCCACCAGCTGCCTCTTGCACACTTCCTACTGGGGAGGTGCCCGCAACCAAGGTACATGCCCTTGACCGGAATGGAACCTGGGACCCTTCAGTCCGCAGGCCGACACTCTATCCACTGAGCCAAACCGGTTTCGGCAAAGTTAATTTCAAGCCAAGCGAATTTCCTTCCCGGGAGCCTACGAACAAAACCAACCCTGAAGATCCCTCCAATGCGGTGAGCGCGCCGGGCTGTGCTGGGATCTGATTGGCTGAGGCCTGAGCGCAGGTGTGCGGGGAGCCGCCCCTGCTGCAGCTCTGGCTCCCGGTGCTCGCCTGCAGCTGAAAGGAAGGCGCTGGACGAGGGTGCTCCCCTCCCAGGTAACCGGGAACGTGTGTGTCCTAGAGGCTTCACGCCCGAATGTGCATGTGTTTGACAATGGGGTGAACACTGATGTGAAGTGTTACTTTATCCGAAAGGGGTTAGGTTTTGGCTAAATGCATTTTGGTGTTCTTGTGTGCATGTCCCGTTGATAAACGCTGAGCAGAGGCAGAGTCTGGGGAGAAAGCTGGTATTTGTGTTGCCCCCAGGGTTGGGGGTAACATCGCCGCATGTTCCTTGCTATCCTGGCAAAACCTCCAAAGGCAGTGGCAAATTGATTGTTTCCCCTAAACTTCCCTTTCTCTGTGTGCTCCCCGCCAGGGCTCACGGCCACACGCACACATGTCCGGGTCGTGTGTGGCGTGTGTGGCGTCAGGGTTGGCCTGGTGCAGTCTCACCTGGCCGGCCAGCTGGGCGAGCAGCCTGCGGTTTCTGTCATTGTGGAAACGGGCCCATGGCTGGACGGTCACAGACTCACACACGTTCCCCGGACGCGCCTTGGCACAGTGGGGGGAGCCCAAGCCGGGAGTCAGCAGAGGCACCTGAAGCAAGGGATCTTGCCCTTCCTGCTCTAACCACTATTCTCCCACAGCTGCCCGAAGACGTGTGCGGGTCTGAAGAGCAACCATCAGGGGAAATGAGCAGGAAGTAGGTGTAGAATCTCGCTCTCCTTAGGGTCCCGGCCCCCGAGCTACCTTAGAACGGGTCTCGGTGGGTCTGTGAGCGTCCACACCCCCCGGGACCTGACCCTGCAGGGCTGATGGGGTGCTCCTTAGCGAGAGCCAGGCCCCGGGAGGCGCAGAAACCAGACGTGTCTCCGTGGCACGTGCCCTGCCTGTGGGAGGTGTCGTTTTCGTTGTGACCTGGCAGATTGTGGCTTCGGGAGGGGAGTCACTTTGACCTAATTGGAGGGGAAATTGCATGAGGGACAGCTGGAAGGGGTGACATTAGTTGTGGAGAGAGTGAGTGTGAGCGTGTTTGTGTGAGTGAGCATGCAGGTGTGTGAACGGGGGACGATTGCTTGTTGATTGCTGCGGGCCTGCGAGAACCTTACCACACCCTGGTCCTGGGTTTGAGTGAGTCACGGAGACCTGTTTCTGACGGCTGCTGGGTGCTTTCCTCTGATAACCACCCGAGCAGACTTCGGGGAATCGGACAGTGAATGACGGAGCCAGGGAGGGGGGTGAGACCCACTCAGCGGCTGCCACACTCAGATGCAGCCGCACTGAGGCGTCCCCCCAGGCCCCAGGCCCCAGGCCCCAGGCCCCGAGCAGCTTCAATGGCCGACATCAGCCTCTACCCTAGGAGCGCTCCTGGCGTCCTGGTGCCAGCATGCGGCTCCCAGCGGGCGTCAGTGGGAACCCCTGTCCTCTCCACTTCCTGCCGCTTTTCACGTGAGCAGAAGCCCTTCCTGGGCACAGTCACGTCTCCACAGACCGTTTCTGTCTCCTCAGAGCACACGTGTGTGGACCCGGGGAGCTGTGGTGCCACAGCCCCGGCCTCTGCCGTGCATGTGGTGACAGACACGTTGGGAAACTGGCATCCAGTGTCCCGTGACTTGGGAGGCAGGTAGGAGCAGGCAGGACTGAAGTCTGGGTGGGGGAAGGTGAGGAAGGCAGAACTCGGGTCTGAGTCTTTAAAAAGGAAAGAAGCCAGGAGGCAGTTAGCATGAGAGGGCCAGGAAAACTCTTTGTACTCTCCCACTCGGGGCCTGGTTTGCTCAGAGGGACAGCCTGCCCACGTGCTCAGAGGCCAGGCCTGGGTTTGCAAATGCCTCCCCGGACGGCCAGGGTCCTGTGAGTCTGGCGGAGTCCTGGTCCCGGGTCAGCCGGCTGCCAGCCAGAGACGCCCGTCTGTCCGAGGCACTCACAGGCCTCAGAGAGGCGCCCGTCACAAGCCAGGCTGACCGGGACCCAGCTGGGTCTTGCTCTCAGCTGCCGAGGAGACCGAGGATCGGAATACCCCTCCTGCAGGCCGAAGGCGGGGCCCACCCACTGCACCCCGCTCCCACCCACTGCACCCCGCTCCCACCCACTGCACCCCGCTCCCATCCACTGCACCCCGCTCCCACCCACTGCACCCCGCTTCCACCCACTGCACCCCACTCCCATCCACTGCTCCCCGCTCCCACCCACTGCACCCCGCTCCCACCCACTGCACTCAGCTCCCACCCACTGCACCCCGCTCCCATCCACTGCACCCCGCTCCCACCCACTGCACCCCGCTCCCACCCACTGCACTCAGCTCCCACCCACTGCACTCCGCTCCCACCCACTGCACCCCGCTCCCACCCACTGCACCCCACTCCCACCCACTGCACCCCACTCCCATCCACTGTACCCCGCTCCAGGGCTGCGGACAGAGCACCATTAGAGCTCAGATGGGCTGCATATCCCTCTTCATAAAATGAGCGCTAACTCATTAACTCTAGATGCCATTGCCAGCTGCGTAGTCTTCGGGTCACCAGAAAAGTCTGCAGCTTTTTTGAATGAAAAACAAATCCTCTT